ATATATATATATATATGAACATTTTATAAAATTTAAAGCTTAAAAAATAGTGTAGATCAAGCATATTTATAAACACTTGAAAATCTGTAAAATGCATTATAAGATGCACTATTTCTAAAATTCGAAATCCATTTTTTTCCCATGTTCGTACATCTTGAGGTTAATGTTCAATTTGAGGAATTTGGGCATTGAAGTAACTTCTTCTAATGAATTTTTGATGTGCGCCTTAATTTGATTGTGCACCTTATGTGGATCCGGTTTCTATGCAACCATGCCTGTATATGTAGAAATGTAGACTTCTTAATAAAAAAAATTTTGAAATGAATTTTAAGACTTAATTTTTAAGGACATGTAATCTCCAACATGGAGCTTATGAATATGAAAAAATAAATAAATTTTAAAAACTAAAAATAATAATTCTACTAAGAAAACATTTGGATTGTTATTTTTGATTGTTTTCATTGTTTTTAGCTAGAACACCTACTTGTATCTATCTTAAAGATGGATGCTTTATACTTTTTGGACTGCATATGTAGAAATGCAGGCCCGCCCGCATGAAACAATTTTCCTTACTCTTTGTGCAAAGCGTAGCGGTTTGTTGCGTGCACTTCTGACGGGCGATGCGCACTTGTGCACTGTACGATTTGTCTCGTCTCTCAAACACGTGTGTATGAAGTGCCATCTAAGTACCTTCCGTATGCAGTCTTGTGTAATTGCGTACTCAATTTTAAGCGTGCGATTCACACGTAAAGCGTAGTGGTTTGTTGCGCGCATTTATGACAGGTGGTGTATACTTGTGTACCGTACGATTTGCCTTATGTTCTCCAAATACATGTGCATGAAATGCTATCTAAGTGCCCGTGCCCTCCGTAGCATGTGTACTTGGGCATCGCACTACTCAATGTATATATATATATAGATGGGAAAGGTTGGTGTTGGCCCAATAGTTAATAGCTATAGTGTTGACCAATGGTTTCGATTGAATCTGGGCCTGATCAAATAATTACGATTGTATTTTGTATTTGAATTTTTATTTATTTTTTATAAATCCAAATCACTTGAGTGTATATTATTTAAAAATAATAATATTTAAGAAAAAAATATAAAATATAAATTACCCAAAAAATTCTTAAAATTTTTAGGGGTATTTTGATCAATTTATATATTGTGAATAAATTTTTAATAAAATTTCAAGTGATTTGGATTTGAAAAAAAAAAAAATGAAAATTCAAATACAAAATAAAGTCGTGACCGTCAGATTGGTTCAGATTTAATTTAGGTCATTGGCTAAAACTGTAGCGATTAGCCT